CCCCGTCACCTGGTCTCCTAATAATCAATAACCTCCCCGTCACCTGGTCTCCAAATATCTATGACCTCCCGTCACCTGGTCTCCAAATATTCTATGACCTCCCGTCACCTGTCTCCTAATAATCAATAACCTCCCCGTCACCTGGTCTCCTAATATTCTATGACCTCCCCGTCACCTGGTCTCCAATATCTATGACGTCCCCGTCACCTGGTCTCCTAATAATCATAACCTCCCCGTCACCTGGTCTCCTAATAATCAAACCCCCCGTCACCTGGTCTCCAATATCTATACGTCCCGTCACCTGATCTCCTAATATCTATGACCTCCCCGTCACCTGGTCTCCTAATATCTATGACCTCCCCGTCACCTGGTCTCCTAATATCTAGACCTCCCCGTCACCTGGTCTCCTAATATTCTATGACCTCCCCGTCACCTGGTCTCCTACTAATCAGTGACTCCCCGTCACCTGGTCTCCTACTAATCAGTGACCTCCCCGTCACCTGGTCTCCTAATATTCTATGACCTCCCCATCACCTGGTCTCCTACTAATCAGTGACCTCCCCGTCACCTGGTCTCCTAATATTCTATGACCTCCCCGTCACCTGGTCTCCTATAATCAGTGACCTCCCGTCACCTGGTCTCCTACTAATCAGTGACCTCCCGTCACCTGGTCTCCTAATAATCAATAACCTCCCCGTCACCTGGTCTCCTAATAATCAATAACCTCTCCGTCACCTGGTCTCCTAATATTCTATGACCTCCCCGTCACCTGGTCTCCTAATATTCTATGACCTCCCCGTCACCTGGTCTCCTAATATTATATGACCTACCCGTCACCTGGTCTCCTAATAATCAATAAACTCCCCGTCACCTGGTCTCCTAATAATCAATAACCTCTCCGTCACCTGGTCTCCTAATATTATATGACCTACCCGTCACCTGGTCTCCTAATATTCTATGACTCCCCGTCACCTGGTCTCCTAATAATCAATAACCTCCCCGTCACCTGGTCTCCTAATATCTATGACCTCCCCGTCACCTGGTCTCCTAATAATCAATAACCTCCCCGTCACCTGGTCTCCAAATATCTATGACCTCCCCGTCACCTGGTCTCCTAATATTCTATGACCTCCCATCACCTGGTCTCCTACTAATCAGTGACCTCCCCGTCACCTGGTCTCCTAATAATCAATAACCTCTCTGTCACCTGGTCTCCTAATAATCAATAACCTCTCTGTCACCTGGTCTCCTAATATCTATGACCTCCCTGTCACCTGGTCTCCTAATAATCAATAACTCCCGTCACCTGGTCTCCTAATAATCAATAACCTCTCTGTCACCTGGTCTCCTAATCTATGACCTCCCCGTCACCTGGTCTCCTAATAATCAATAACCTCCCGTCACCTGGTCTCCAAATATTCTATGACCTCCCCGTCACCTGGTCTCCAAATATTCTATGACCTCCCCGTCACCTGGTCTCCTAATAATCAATAACCTCCCCGTCACCTGGTCTCCTAATATTCTATGACCTCCCCGTCACCTGGTCTCCAAATATTCTATGACGTCCCCGTCACCTGGTCTCCTAATAATCAATAACCTCCCCGTCACCTGGTCTCCTAATAATCAATAACCTCCCCGTCACCTGGTCTCCAAATATTCTATGACGTCCCCGTCACCTGATCTCCTAATATCTATGACCTCCCCGTCACCTGGTCTCCTAATATCTATGACCTCCCCGTCACCTGGTCTCCTAATATCTATGACCTCCCGTCACCTGGTCTCCTAATATTCTATGACCTCCCCGTCACCTGGTCTCCTACTAATCAGTGACCTCCCCGTCACCTGGTCTCCTACTAATCAGTGACCTCCCCGTCACCTGGTCTCCTAATATTCTATGACCTCCCCATCACCTGGTCTCCTACTAATCAGTGACCTCCCCGTCACCTGGTCTCCTAATATTCTATGACCTCCCCGTCACCTGGTCTCCTACTAATCAGTGACCTCCCCGTCACCTGGTCTCCTACTAATCAGTGACCTCCCCGTCACCTGGTCTCCTAATAATCAATAACCTCTCTGTCACCTGGTCTCCTAATATCTATGACCTCCCTGTCACCTGGTCTCCTAATAATCAATAACCTCTCTGTCACCTGGTCTCCTAATATCTATGACCTCCCTGTCACCTGGTCTCCTAATAATCAATAACCTCTCTGTCACCTGGTCTCCTAATATCTATGACCTCCCTGTCACCTGGTCTCCTAATAATCAATAACCTCCCCGTCACCTGGTCTCCTAATAATCAATAACCTCTCTGTCACCTGGTCTCCTAATATCTATGACCTCCCCGTCACCTGGTCTCCTAATAATCAATAACCTCCCCGTCACCTGGTCTCCAAA